AAAGTGTTTTTTGTCTATCGTTCTCTAAAAAAAACGCTATGTGCAAGCAATGTTTTAAAAAATGCAGAAAGACAATTGAAGCGTTGTTACGGCCGGTGTCCAGGTTTCTTCCACACCTACACGTGCATTTGGGTCTCGTAGAACAAACAACAAAGTGTGGGTCATTGTTGTGGGATGGTTGGAGAATGAAGCAGTGATCTCCCTGCACTCTGACGCCTCTGTTCCTCAATACTGGGAGAGTTGCTACATGTAAACCTTATGTAAGCATGTACAAGTCCTGATAGCAACGTTAGCACCAGCAACATTTTGGCTACCTTTTAAATGCCAAAAAACTCAGTCCCCTGTCTGCACATTAGCACTGGAAATATAGTGTTTGAAGATCTTCCTGGTAGAAGTTTTACAAAATATCTGTTTTCAGTGAATACATTTTTTTGGGTGTAGAAGAAAAGCCGAAATACATTAAAAGAAAGCTATATTTAAAATAAATCCTGTGTAAGTGTGGACCAGGCTTTAGAATTAGACCGAGAACGACTTCTCTAAGATTTATTCTATAGTGCTTTATAAATCCTTTTCCATATTGCACACTCAGGAAGTATGTTTAATATGTGTTCTACCTTTGATAGACAGCACCTTACATTTATAAGCGAGCCCTGTTTAGTTTTTTTTTCACAGTTCTGAACATGATAAGAGTTGTCTGGCAAACTTCAAACTGGGCAGAACATTTGCTGTTAGTACGCACACTTTTCAGACTGCTTTGGCCAGTCAATATTTACCTGCAACCACACATTCCTGGTAGATAAAAAACCTATATGAACTTTTTATTCCAAAATATTTACCTTGCGATTTTTGAGGTGGGTGTTAAATAGATCGTTGTGATTTGTGAAATCGTTTTCCAGAGAACAGTAGTTCAGTGTTGTGCTGAATCTCAATACTTTCAAACCAAGAATAGTTTTCTAATACTGGACTTCATGGATCATATTTCACCTTCTCACCTGTAACTTTAGGAACATGCAGTGGACCAACTTGTGTCTATTTAGTTCTTTTTAAATGTTCTTTTCAGTCTGAAACTGAGCTTTAAAACAAACTGTAATACCAAAACCTTTATTTAGATCAGGGGTGTCAAACTCAAGGCCCGGGGGCCAAATCCGGCCCGCGACTTCATTTCATGTGGCCCCACAAGGGCTTGCAAAGAATATAATATGTTTATTATACAGTTACATGCCGCTTTACAGAAGCATATTGCCCATAAACTACATGTCCCACAATGCATCTCAAATTAGACATTTTTTTTAAACGTTACTTTTTTTTTCAAAATGTTACTTTTTTTCCAAAATGTCACGTATTTTAAATTTTTTTTCCAGAATTTGGCTTTTCTTTTTAAATCATTTTGTGACATGCGCACTGAAAGAGACTTGCAATTGTTTGCCCTAGACTTCTGCTTTCAGACATAGTTAATTATGAAGTTATTACCCTATCCGATAATAATCCAATGCAGAGGCAATCATGTAATATATAATACATTATTTTATATATATTAAATATTTATATAGTCTTAAAGTTACAAACGGCCCTTTGACTGCAACCATGATGCTGATGTGGCCCGTGATGAAATTGAGTTTGACCCCCCTGATTTAGTTGAATTAATAGAATCCTAATCACTTAACCACTAAATAAGATCACAAAAATACACATGTTAATGTCAGGGCCTAACACTCCTAAAGAAAGTGTAAAACGTATTTCCCCGAGAGTTGATATTTTACTTTAAAATCTGAAATAAACTATGCGTCACTCAGGGATGCAGTCATGTCAGAAACTCAAACTTTCCCTGCAGTTAATTCATGAGATAATCTCCCAGCAGCACATCAGTAAAGCCCCTCCTCCTTCTCCTTAAATCCTGGTGTAAATTCAAATGTTCTGAACCTATATCTTAAGCATCAGCAGATACAGACGTTACAGGGTCTCCATACTGCCTGTTTACTTATGCTTCGATGTGTGCGGCTGTGTGTGTGTGGTAGGAGGGGAGAAATGGAGTCTAGGAGTGTGTGAGTCTAATTAAAACGATGAAAATAATTACTGATACAGGCTGACAGACAGCCTCGCCCTCAGACATCCTCAGTAATTAGTTAATTAACCAAACGCAAATTAGCAGCAAGAATTAGTCAGCCAGGCTTAACGGAGAAGATGGTGAGCCCTCCTCTCGCTTTCTGCTTTGCTACTCTCTGCTCCGCCTTTGCTATCTGAGTGTGTGTGTGTGTGTGTGTGTGTGTGTGTGTGTGTGTGTGTGTGTACACGTCTGTGTGTGTTTGCAGAGCTACACTAAACTGTTTAAAAAAGTTAGAAATAGGGCACGTCTGCTTTATTACACTTTATCACTTCTTTGCATGACACAGCCGCAACATGGTATATGTAATATTTTTTATGCCTAAGTCAATTCATTCAAATTAAAAAGTGATTTCAGGATAATGAGGCAGTCATTTTCTCATGTTTTCGCCTAACATAACAGGGTTACACAGTTGGAATGTTTGCATCTGTTCCCCTTCAAATCCCCTAAACTTGTAATAAAAAGTGCTAATTTAAAAGAAATTCAGGCGTTTTCCTTCAACTTGAAGCAGAAAGTTTAACCACAGAGTCGGAGCAGATATTCTCCCCATTAGAAAAAACACATTTACAAAATATCAAATGAATCCCTGCAGCTCACATGATCCGAACACGCCACCGAGGCTCCTCCTCAGGTCATAAGAACAACCGCTCAGATCCACCACACTGAAGTCACAATGATTACGTGAGCAGGGATGAATATTCGCCCACTGTCGGCTCCAGAGGGCGAGTGGAGGCTCAGCGCTGAAGGCGGCCGGTATCCCTTTTGTTAACACTCACTTTGCTTCGCCTGTGGCTCATTTCAGTGAAGATGTGAGAGGAGACAAAGCTCCAACTGCACAGCAACGCTCAGTCACACGATATGGCCATGCACTCTATCATAAATGTGAACACAGCATGACTCTGATGTTCTATATTTTTGTTACTGTCAACAAATCCCAAGACTAAATTCAATTCAATCTTTATTTCAGACTCAAGGTCCATATCACATACAAAATGACAAGATACACATCAATAAATTAGATTAAAAAGCTAAACAAATAAAACCAAACAGATAAAAAACATCAAATCAGTCCAATCACAGCTAGCCACACATGCTCACTGTCTGTAGAGGCTATTAGCCTCTACAGACAGTGAGCATGTGTGGCTAGCTGTGATTGGACTGATTTGATGTTTTTTATCTGTTTGGTTTTATTTGTTTAGCTTTTTAATCTAATNGTTTCACTCTCAGTAGCGGCAGCTCGATTCTGATTGGCTTGAAGGACAGTTGTGTGATAAATATTAAAAGATTGGCATCAAAGGACACATAGATTGATAGATTTGCAGTTATTAATAACATCTAAAAAGAAAAAAAAATGTAACTTTAAAAAAAAAAAAAAATCCCCCTTTCCCTCAAACTTTGCGTGACCCCCCTGGCGGCCCCCCGGGGGGTCGGGGCCCCCACTTTGAAAAACACTGGCCTAGAAGACTCTGACAATCATGTTATCCCGATTGTAATTAACCCTGTGAAGAGTTCTACTCGGTTCTCTTCCATGATTTGGAGACATTGGCGCAACAGCCTCTACAGACAGTGAGCATGTGTGGCTAGCTGTGATTGGACTGAGTGTTATGTGTTTAGCTTTTTATCTTATTTATTGATGTGTGNTAAATTATTATTAATAATAACGTTTGCATATACATTTTCAGGGGCGGACTAGCCATCTGTATAATTTCCCCGCAGCGAGGCTCCCCCCTCTGACAATCCACTAGCACATCCAACAGTATATAACAAATTACAGCCTGAAATTAAATAAATAAAAAACTGAAATTAATTCACTAGCCCCCTGATTTCACTGTTAGTTTTTTTTTTTTAGGCTGAAAATAGTTTGTTTGTCTTCAGTGTCAGTCTGACCATTTATTATTTATTTAATTGTTACTGCCAAAAGAGTGTAGTTGTTTTTATTTCATATTGCACTACAAGTGCACTACTTAGAACTTGATTGTTGAGGCTACAATAAAGATCCCTGTCAAAATGTCTAAACATATCTTTTGTGTTTTATTGTTCCGCTACATTTCATAATTGCTACAATGATGGGGAGTTGCCTTTTCTCTTACTGTGCCACAGAACAACACAAAAACTTGTATTATTGTTATTATTTTTAAAGTAAAGTAAAGTAACTTGTTACTACTGTTAGTTACTTTTAGAATTTACTAACTAATAAAGTAACTAGTTACTGTTTTGAGAGCAGTAACTATAACTATTACTAGTTACTTTTTAAAAGTAACTAGCCCAACACTGGTTCTTGGCAATAAATACATAGCGTTAAATCAAAACAAAGTCTCTCCTGATCGAAATAAAGTTATTGCTTTGTTTATTTCTGCAAAACATACATTTATGAACAGATACAGCAGCTTTCTCCAGAAAAATAACCAGCTTGTACAGATAGAACAGCCTCCTATCTGTAGCCAAAACTCTTCCATACAACTAAAGCCCCGGCCACACGAGGACGATAACGGTCGTATCTGCAACAGTTCACTATCAGATAGACGGTTCGGCCACACGAGGCCGACATGGAAACGCAGAAAACGATAGCGATAACGGGTCCCAAGGTGGGTAGATGTGCAAACGAAACTCTCTGGGGGGGCAAACGGCTCCGTGTTTACGCCTATACGATCATTTCCTGATAACGTTGAAGCAATAGCCCCGCCTCTCCCCACCTCTCCTGCTCAAAGATCAGCTGCTGGGCTGTCAGAAGAGGGGAGGAAAGAGAGGCT